ATGTATCTATGTATCTATGTATCTATGTATCTATCTCTATCTATCTATCTATCTATCTATCTATCTATCTATCTATCTTTTGGCAACATGATAGCAGATCAAATGTCAAGTCTAATGACAGACATCTTTTAATTTAGCTTTCTGCAAGTCACATGGAGATTTGTCCTTCCAAGATTATATAAGTATTTTGATGATCTCCCATACAAGGAAGATCCTTTTCTAACCTAATGACTTCCAGTTGAGTTGGGACTACAGTTGCCAGAATTCCCAGCCCGTAGACTCTTCAAAAGTAGATTGAAACTTCTATCGTGCTTTATAGTTAGAGGTAGGCAAATGGTACCGTTCTTGCAGTTGTCTTCTTTATCAATGCCTAATTTTCCTGCCATGCCTCAATTTATTGTTTTAGGAAAAACTAAATAAATGGAAACTTAATTCCCTGCTTTACAGCCAAACAGGTAACACAGTTCTTAGCATGTATGAAATTATAAGCATTTCTATGGTAGTGACCTGTCTTCTTGGAGGACTCTGCCAAATACCTCCTGGAAGTTCTGGAGGTTCATTTCCTTCTGAAACAGCTTTTCGAGACGCCAGTTTGTGACGGACCTGTTGCACTGTTTTCCTTACCTGGAAGAAGAGATTTATACAAAGAAGCACATAATACACAGTATAAGCAACATTTACTTGTCATTAATGTATTACGTCAGATAATTAAAAACAGAAAAAACATTTACAGTTTTGGCTTGCTCTGAGAACTGCTCTGGTATGTAACTAGCTTGCTGTACACAGATGACTTTATCATCAGAACTGCCAATGGCAGAATCTGTATTATATCTGTAGAGGCATGTATTCTTCTTGGGGGTCAACCGCAATGCAGAATCTGAAAACCCTATAATAACAGAGCTTTCCTTTAGGGCCTGTGAAAGGAGAAAAATAGTACAAGTATTAGCTGCATCAAAACTTAGGATGATAATGAGAAAGAAACAGGTATCAAATGACTTGGAAAGCAAAAATATATTGTACAAAGAGATCAGTAGTTTTAAATTGAAACAGATGCATACTGTTAAAAATAATTCTTGAAGTATCGTTTTATTGACAAATGGATTCTAGTAATAAATTGTTTTCTTAACTAGTTGGGAAAAGGCTACCTGGGAGTGAGGCTGCAGTAAATAATCTCAAGAAAGGCTTAACAGCAACAGTTGAATTGTGTAATTAAATGGCCTGTGGAACAAAGGAGTGGTGCAGATATTTCTTAAAATTCCAAACCCAAGATCATTCAACAATTTTCTAATGTCATTTATGTTAAAATAAATAATTGCATTTATTTATAAGAAAATAAACAGTTTGGGACATTACAATAACAGTAATCCCCAAACTAGATTAATGCTTCTTTAATGTAGCACAGAAATTTAGTTTTCAAGGAGAAATCCACATACATCCTTAACAGCAATAGAATCTTACTGCTTCATAAGATGCCTTCAACTGTTGTTTCCTCTTCAGATTAATACGTTGGTTCACCCTGTGTTTTACCTCCTCCTGAAAACGTTTCAATGTTTTCTCTTTTTCTTTCTGTTGTTGTTTGTATTCCTTTTCAATCTGAATAGCTGTAGCCTAAATAAATAATGAGCATTAAGAGTGAGATAAGCAGATCACCAGTGAACCAAAGGCAAACTTCAAAACTGAGTAACAAGCTTGCTCCTACTGCTTATTAAGATTTGGTAATACAACACACTTGTCTTCATGAAAGCATTCTTAGGATGACTTTGTATAGGTAGGTCCTATTAATACTGAAGACACATATTAAGCATATCCTTTGATTTGCAGCACTATCACAATGATGGACAAAGGTTCAAATTAAAACAAAACAGCAATCGGTGGCCTTCCAGATGTTAGATTCCAGTATCTCTGGGTCCTAACCAACATGGATTATTATCAGGGATGACAGGAATTGTAGTCGAACAGCAACTGCAGGGCCACAGGCACCCCATTTAGCTTAATTAAGAAGGAAAGAGTAAATCATAGCCTAAAAGCTATATTATGATTTGTTTTTATGTTTACCATTCAAAAGCATACTGCCATTACAGAATACCTCAGAACAGAAGTAACTGTTAGATAACAATTACAGTTTGAACAAGTTTTAGATTCAATCTCTAAGACCTCTTATTAGAATTTTCTGGGATTTCATTGAACCACTGTCAGTTGGAGAAGAAAGTGAACCAGATGGTTTAATAGTCTGAATCAAATTTGAATTTTTGATATTAATTTAGGTAACCTGATGCTTAATACTCACAAAAGCTGGGCTCTCTTCTTCTCCATCATCTTGGGCACTCTCCACCCAGGCCCCAACAGGTACTATACACTGAGTTCTTCCTGCTAATACATTCCAGTTGACTGCCTCTGACTGAGGCCTCACTTTTGACTCTGAAATTTTCTGGGAACCATGCTGTTGTAGCCCCTTCTTGGGTGGCACCATCCCAGCAATAGGGCAGCAATAAGGTAGGGTTTCTGGAGGAAGCCTCTATGGAAAGACATCATTGTGCTCAATAAGCATTTGTTTATAAGAAAAAAAGCCTAGCTCTATTTATGTACCAGAATCATCCTTTAAAGGCAGCTTCTGGTATTCTACTAGAAACATAAGCTTACTAAAAAATAAAAGCTGTCCTGCCCTGTTTCTGTCTCTCTAACAGCACTCCAGTTTCAAAGCCAGCAGGTGAAGCTTTTTGTGACATGGGAACATGATCATCTGACTACTGCTGCAGAGCAGAGTGCTATAAAATGGAAAATAGCAGGCATAGGTTAAGATTGACAACTTGTTCTAAGAGATCAAGTAGCCCTGCAGCACTGAGATTCCCAGAGCCCATTTACTGCCCTAAGTTAATTCACCTATATGCCTAAATTTAATTTTTCTTACACAATCATTACAAATATCTTCATATCCACACAATCCCTTGTTTGCTTAGCTTCATCTATCACTAAGTAACAGCCTGCATGAACTACCCTTAAAAGCTATAACTAAAACAAAATTAGGTCTCTCTAACTGGCTGGGACAAAACAGTGGGAGTGGGGGAGAGACAGCACCTTAGTTTTCTCCTTTTGTTTCCAGTAGAGATTTAAAGAGCATGGGCCTGTATTGACCAGAGCTAAATATGATCCTTATCTTTGTTATGGGAGGGTGTTTACACAAACACACACACTAGACAACCCTGTGGTCCGTTGGGTCATCCTTTGAGAGAAAGGTGGTGCAGTCTGATGTGACCAGAATGACCATTACATTTCAGGCTGATCTTTTTTTTTTAACCTAATGCTGGACGGTCCCATGATCACCTAAGAAGAGTATATATCATAAATATAATTGTAGTGGCAAATGAGCTTCAATAAGAAGTCAATATTTACTTACCTAAACAGATAAACAGAATGACCACAGGTGGGAAAAAAAAGCAGTGGGAGTAGGACCAACTTCCTGCCGGCTTCCCCATTGACTTTGCTTGTGGGAAGCTGGCAGGAAGTGTCAGAAATTGTGATTACATAACCGTGAGGATGCTGCAATGCCCACAACTTTGTAAATAAACTGGCGTGAACTTCTTGGAAATTTCAATTCCACAGGACTAATGGGTCCTGGATTTTTTACACATTCTTTTAGAGAGCGGATTTTAGGTACCTTGATTCAACAACTGTTGTGATATAATGCACTGTTTGGGCTTGACGGTCCAAACAGACAAAAAGATGAAAACAATGAGTTTTAGCAGTGTCTGTGTACATGCATATATATACACACACACACACATGCTTTTCCCATGCTGTGCTCTATGGCAAAAAGATGGGATATACAATTTAAAAATAAATACAATAAAAATTGCATAGATGTATTGCTCATTTGTTTGAATGTGTGCACAATACTATATTAAAGGTGACTTTTGCTTCACAGACCTTACTGAAGTTGGGGCACAGTATATAAATATAGATAGCCAGGAAAGTACAGGAGCAGCTTCAGGTTTCACATGAAATCATTGCTTTGGGGCTTCATGCTGGAACGCCTCCCTTTGGCCCCCAAGCCCCTCGCCCAAGGCTCCTTAATCTGCTTCCTCCCAACCTTTTTTATACTGTAGGCCATTTCTGTGAGGCTGTGGAAGGGTCGCCATCACCAGCCACAGCACCCGCCGCCCAGGGAACCCACTGGGAAACCTCTCATTCCAGCCCCAAGTCCATGAGGCGCCTTCGCGGCCCGCGGGGAACCTTCGCACCTGTCGGCAATAACCCTTGGAGGAAAGGCCGCGTCCCTCCGGGTTCACGCCATCCCAGAGGACGAGCTTCGCCCCGCAGCTTCCTCGTCTCGCAGGGACTCGGACTCCGCCGCTACCATGGCAACCCCTCCTCCCGCGAGATTTAATACCGGTATTGCTGGACCCCTGACGACGCTGCCATGCCAACCAGCTCCCTCCACTTATGCGCGCGCATTCACATAGCTTTTCTCACCCCCAGAAACCTCCCGCTTCGCTTCCTTCTCCAACCGTCGTTTTAAAACCGCGCGCCGCTTCCGCTTCAACCGCGTGAAGGCCCCACCCTGAGTTCCACCGGGGACCAATCCGGGAAAAGAAGCCAGGCCCAGCCGTGTGGTTGGTCGGCATTACCTTTGGTCGCGCTTTGGGAGGAGGGTCCTTTGGAGCGTTTGACCCCGCCCTTAGCTCAAGGCCGCGCCCACGAAGCATTAGTTCCGCCAATCAGCTGCCTCGGTTTAAATTAAAGGAAGCAGCCCACTTTGATGGCTGAAGCTGTTATAGCAGAGCTGATAGGCTGGGGAGCCCGAACGCGCCGGAAGAGGGGATTCCCGGCTTAGGAAGGGCTGCCAAAATATAGACGGCCGCTAGATGGGCCTAGAGAGATGCAGAAAACGTCTATTCGTTGCCCCCTAGGCGTGATCGGGAGTTTTGCAGCGCAGCCCAGATTTGGTTGCCCCAGCTAGAACATATACATCACAATTATAACCCTCAATCAATCCAGTGCAGAATGCAGATCTCTACCGGCTTTCCAACTGCTTTGACAGCTTGGAAAAAAACTCGAGTTCACATCTTTAAATTGAGGGACAGTATCTGCCCAGCATTTCCTGGGTTTTTTAGGATCACTTGGTATCCTATAGAGCAGGGTTCCTCCACCTCAGCAACTTTAAGATGGGTGGACTTCAACTCCCAGAATTCCCCAGCCAG